TCTCTCTCTCTCTCTCTCTCTCTCTCTCTCTCTCTCTCTCTCTCTCTCTGTGTGTTTCTCTCCGCGTCTTTTTGTTTCTATTGTGTTCAATTAATAATAAAATGTATTTCAAATACTGATATGTTTTGTTACAGCGCCATGTACATGATGTCTATTTGATCTGAAATGAATTTTATCAAAAAATACAATTCAATTATACACGTATAATATTACTTCAGAAACGTTTTTTTTTTCAGAAACGTACTTTAGAAGGTATTTTTAAAAGTTCAAAATGAAAAATATATTAAAGTTATATCTAATTTCTTTTATACGTTATATCAAAATTTTACTTATTAATTGTATATTAATATAATTATTAATTAATTAAAATATATTTTAATTTAATTTAATTTTTATTTTATTTTATATTTTTTACTGTTTTTTATTAGCTAAATAGCGCGCGCGTAGTGCACGTATGTATTGTTCTGGTTGGTATAAAAATGTTAAGAGGAAGAAGATATCAAGAAAGCTTTTACATTCAGATATTTGAATATTATATTATTATGCGTTATATGTTATGTATATTAAAAAAAATAGGGCAAAAATATTTGAAAAGGATAAAAAAGTGTAAGAGATAAGCGAAACGTTTTACTAAATGAAGAGAATCGGAATATCCCGGATCCTGATTTATCCAATGTAGGTATATACTTTCCAGATATATATTCGCGTATATTTGCCAATTATTCATTCAAAACTTTAAAAGAACATTAAAGTGGATGACGAACCCTGATAAAAAATGGCCTCGTTTAGATAGAACTAAAAATATCGAAAATATTGTCATGTTATCGACATTATCGATTTTATGTATATATAGATATTTACGGAGCAAAGACATGGTCAAAAAATATTCTATTTAGAAATAATTAAATATACTATAAATAATACTTAAATAATTAAATAACTAAATATTCTGTTTAGAAATAATGTGAGGACGCTAATACAGCGAGAGCCATTGAAATTCAGAGAAACGATCAATTCTGAAAAACGCGAGCGATAACAAATGATTCCTCAATAACGTAAGAATTCGGCTAATAAAGATTCGTCGTATTAGGCTTGACGACAGCGCGAAGCATCTTATTTTAATATGCCCACAATAATTAATAATACATAATAATTTTATTATAAATAAACGTTAATACGATCATGCATGTATTTGTAATTATTTTATGTGCAGCCAATATGACGTAAACTTTGCAGAAAAGTGTCAGAAAAAATTGCTAATAAATTTATTAGATATGTGATGGCGTCACCTTAAATATCGAATGTCGAGACTGATTTGATGCGACTTTTTCTATTGAAGATAGTGATATGATGGAACATGATTTTTTTCATTAAGTATTATCGAAAGATTCTTGTTTCGTGAAATCAGCTTAAAATTAGTTTAAAAAGAATAAAATTTATTTTTCCTCATATTCATACTCATTATTCATACTTTCATATTCATATTCATATTCATTATTCATACTCATATTCATATTTTATTATTTTTTTAAGAAATTGGAACGATATTTATTATTATACTTAAGAATAAAAAGTAGTTTTTATGAAAAAAGCTCAATTATTCTTAGATTTGCCGATAATAGATATTTTTTATCATTCTTACAACCTCTTTTATAGTTTTCACATCTCGTTATTCTTTATTCAAGTTATTATAATGATATTTATTAATGACTATTATAAGCATATACAATTACCAGCAATGTGCAACGCACTGCGACCATTATTGCTCCGATCGTCAATGGACTCTGGCATGTGCGTCAATAATAAATCGATCACGTTTTCATCACCGGCTCGACAAGCGATGAGTAACGGCGTCCAGCCGTCTTTATTGCGTAAACGTGCATTAGCCTTACCCATCAGAAGGGTAACGATGCATTGGAAAGCTGCGTGGCCGCTTTTCGTGCATGCGAGCATCAGAGGCGTCCAATCGCCGCGCTTCAAAGCGTCCACCGACGCACCTTTACGAATCGTACGATGATATATAGCGTAAATTAAATCCATAATTCAACATAAGTAATTTATTTATCTAAGTATAAAAGTTAACGATTAAATTTAAAATATGAATTGATTTTTAAACGCATAATATAAAAAATGCACGTAATATAATTAGTACAATTTAATTATAAAAATCCAATGAGAAAACGTATAAATGAGTCAGACGCTAATAAAATAAATGGGGTATTTTTGTAGAATTTTCATCCAGGTAGAGAAAATTAAATTATAATTTATTCATGCTATTACTAATGAATCGATATTCATTTTTTTAACAATTATTTTCTAGATATTTTTAAATTTTATTGACTTCGATAGCATTTTCCAATTCGGTATTATCAAGTATTACTAATAAATTTGATTGGATGTATGGCTCGTATAATTTATGAGGAAAAAAAGTGCGACAAACACCTTTCTCCAATAGATACTTTAGGACGTCTTCTCGTGCAAATTGCGCGGCTTCGTGCAAAGGCCTCTTCATATCCTTGTTGGCGACGTCGACTTTAAACGTCGGCATATCAAAATGCTCGCACAGGTACTTCACCACGTTCATATTGCCAGCTCGTGCCGCCACGTGCAGCGCGGTGTCGCCGGAGTCCGAGTGTCGGAAGTCGCACCAATCGCAAATTCCATGTTTTACAACGAGGGTTTCCACTCTACGTACGTCTCCGCTTTGGCACGCACGCAAGAAACTACGTGACACACTGGTAACGTCTGTCATTGCTACGTTATGAAACATGCCTTGAGAACCATGCGAATTATATTTAACTCGACTTCGTCTTTAAAACGTTACCAATTTTATTTAATGAAACAGCAAACACATGTCATAAACACACGTCACTTTTCAGCTGGAGCGACCGGCGCGTGCTGGCGCCAGACGACTAAGCTCACAAACTTGTGTGACGACTACTATCGATGTAATGACGGTGCTCCTGTAGCATACTCGTAGCATCAACTGAGTATTGCTTAGCACCACAATGTAGTTACTGACGGTCGGTCATGACGGAACGCTTCGATAACTCTCGAACTCTGTACGAAATACGAATTATCTTCGGAGATACTAATTTATAATAATTTATACGCACAATTTAGAGGAAAAAAAGAAGAAATAGACACAAACACGAACGTTTTTTCTTCTATTTACTTTTTATATTTTATTAGATAACCACCGGACAGAGTCGATATTTAACTGATCGACGCGAACGAGATCCGTATTCAAAGCTCCCATTTTTACCTTCGATATATTACAAATATACTTTATATTTTATACCATATAGATTATTTATTATATTGTACAATATATATTATATATATATATATATATATATAATAAATAATAGGAAACAATAATTATATATTTATATATAATTAAATAATTATATATTTTATATCAACATATCAATCTTAAACTTTTAAATAATAAATATTTCGAACGTATCGTAGTGTTATTATTCCATAATTCTTAAAAATAGAGAGAAACAATTAGATTAATATATTGATATACTTGCAAAAATATTCAGATAAATAAATAGCAATTCATTACTTTGATAGTCTAACAAAACTTACTAACGTTACTAAAATATATACTGTTTATCGTATAGGTAACTATGAATAAAAAATCGCGCAGAGTTTACGTGTTGTATAAATGTTTCAGATTTCGAAAATAATATTGAGCGTTATGTATAACGTATATGCATTGATACATTCTACTTGGAAAATTCTTCAATAAGTATTACATTTATATCTTTGTAAGCACCGAGGATTTCCCAGTTACGTATGAAAGGAGACATATAGAACGAAAAGGGTAGGGATCAAAGGCGCACACATATTCAGGCTCCATTATGAGGTGTAGGCATGTTCGAATTATCATACATATTGGCTGGCCAGATGCCGACACGGAGATACGCTGTCCGGTCCCGAAACGTTCGATTATTTAAACAAACCCGTGCGATACGATCACGGTCACACCCATTACTTTAACGCGCCCTGCACGGAGGAATTTTCGTCCAGGTGAGAGATCTCGTGCATCATGACGAATCCTTCTTCTCGTCCTGGCCGTCTTTCATAACCTTTTATGCATTCCCAAATTATTTCTGAAGTTTATAAAATCCTTTTAAATATTCTTTTATTTATACACATATTTAACTTTTAACTAACTTTTCAGTCCGTCTAAAGATAAGAAGTTTATAAAACTTAAATATTCTTTCATTTATACACATATTTCTGTCATTTCTCGGTCGGTCTGTCGACAGGTCTCTTGTTGGTTGGTATAAATTCTTCATGTGTGGTTATATCAGACTTTGAAGAAGCTTTGAAGAAGCTTTCAAGAAGTATTGATATATTTGCGCAAGCTGATTTCATGACAAAGCACAAATAGTTACGTCATTCTTCAATTGTGCGGCAGCGTTGGGCACATGAAAAAGTCAGTGCTGTCGGATAATGTAAGATCTAGATGACATTTCTAATATATAAAAACGTTTCATACGTTATTAATTTGAAGAAAATATATATTTCTTACGAAAATAATCTATTATTCTTATTTATCACAATGTGATATCAAATATTCTTATCAAATGTTTTTTTACATTGACACAAAGTTTTACATTGACACAAAGTTTGAAGAAGTGAGTGAAAATCGAAACTTGCAGGGGAAATTTTATCCTTCTTGCTAAATATTAGAGTATCTTTACATTCCATTGTATGCTTGTGTACATTGGAATATGTAGCAGATGATAATACTATACATTGGAGAAAAAAGTTTGTGGTAACGAACAAGCTAACACGTTTTGGTTGAAGAAAAGAGAATTTTGCTTATTAGGACCAAATTTGAGTCAAGAGCCAGAAATTCTGTAACTATTATAAAACGCGTTGATTCGTTCATTAAAATCAAACTTCACGTTAATACAATAAATTCTTTTCTCCGTACAATGAAATGTTATTAAAGAAATGAGTGTAAATGTTTTTTAGATTTTTTTCAGAAGCGTATCTTCTTATTCACCTCTATTTCGACAATTACATTGTTATTTCATTTCTCCCGCAATTAGCACATTAGAGTTTTTCAGCTAACATAAAAACTGGTTCCATTTGCTGTAAAATTTGAATGTCGCCGTGGATTACTTTCGACGAAGTTCTCATTCGACGAATATTACTGAAAACTGCCTGCACCTACCGCTCACCCACGACAGGGTGGGCTGCGCAACCTTGTTGCAGGGTGCACAAATGAAACGGTCCCAGGGGTGAAACGCGAACGTAAGCGACAATTTCCCTGCGTGCACGCGTCGAAACGAAATTCGTGTCGTGCGCGCACGGAAATTACGGATATACATATACGCGCGCGCGAGCTTAGCTCTCACACATGAATAATGAACGAGGCGTTAATGCGCGCCCCTTCGACACCCCCTGTTTCTGTTCGTCTTAACCGAGCCGGCGTGTCCGAAAGCGCACAGTAATCAGACTCCCGCGGTTACATCACTAATTCATACGCTCGTTTATGCTTCATCGCCTGTATCGATTGCCGAGTGTCGTGCTATCAAGTTTCTCCCAATGCATAATATGCAAGTCGCTCGCTAAAAACCAAGACACAAAATCTGCGCACAGGATAATTGGGATACAAATTGAAAGCTCGCATTTTAAATATGACACCGCAAAGAATGTTCTCTGGAAGAAGTAGAATAAATTCTTAACTGAATTTTGAAAGTAATTGAATTGTGATGTAATATTCTTCCCCGGCTTTCGAACTTATTCGTACCGTCTGATGTACTTAGTATCGAATCATATGATGATGTTATAGTGTAAAGTCAAACGTGAACTCTCACGCGACAGTAACTTCGCAAAAAATATTTTCTACACGGAAAAGATGTTATAGCCAAAGATTCCAACAAAATTCTTGAACGATGCAGAATTATGACCGAAGTTACTATATATTTGTTTAAAAATATTATGTACATTTGGCTGTTTAAGAAGTTATTATAATTATTTGGACGTTTTTTTACGTTGTATGCCAGATAGATCGTCAATTTTGTAATTTTCATAATAATTTATGTTACAATTTCAAGTTTAGCTTGACAAAAGATCATTGTAAAAAGAATTATAATTTTAACGTAATTTTTACTACAATATTTCCCCGTGTGCTTCTTAGATTTACAATTATCACGTGAAGCTTTTCACATGTAAACAATTTTAGGAACGTTCTTCTCTAGCGATCCTTATAGGGTCGCCAGACGTTACAACAATGCCAACGTTTGGGCAAAACTATGGCAGTCAACTGTTGACTAAGATTCTTATGTGTTGGACCATCACTGATAAATGACTTCTTACATATCCACATAATATAATCCGGCATTAAGGGAACACTAAAGCTTGGCCGACGGTTGACAGCCAATTAATACCTGGCTAGAACTGGCAAATAACTGACTGCCTGTACTCTGGTAATCAGTACTCGGCCAATATTGGACCGATAGTGAAACTAGTACAGTACTGGCTGAGCCAGTACTGGCTAACAACGTCTGGATCAGTATCATCTGTCAGTACCAGGCCGAAGTTATCATCCGACACTGCACTAGTGCCAGGACGGTTGTATTACCAGGCAATATTGAAGCTGGAAATCAGTATTGGTGTATTGCTGAACCGGATGTGATCAACCCTAAATGGGAAGCTGTAGCAGCTTGATTGTATGAAACATCGTTTCCAGCTCATACAGTGCCATTGGAGTAACGGCTAAGGCTATGTATACATGAGCGATTTAAAAAAAGAGGATTAAAAGAGACTGGCGACGTGCGAGCGTAGGGGAGGCAAATACGTGTGCATATATATGCATGTGCAACGCGTGCGCTTACGGGACAGCTTGATATGCAGACGGCGTTCATCGCGCGGCGGCGTTGCTCGCCAAAGAACATCAATCTCCGGTTACGAAACGATTCTCAAAATACGGAATCGCATAGCGGAATGGCGATCGCGCCATCTTCTCCTTCCCCTCGTCTCGTCACGGTGTGTCCGCATTCTGTCACGGTAGCCGCCGCCGCGGAACCGCCGCGGAACTGCACAGCGACTGAGACTCGTGATGCTCGACTGAGGCCAAGAAATGGCAAATGAGAAGCTAAATGGTTAAACGAGAAGATATTTGTCCGCGGATCAAAGCGCGGTATCGAGTGGGCGTCTCGCCCGGAGGGTCAGGCAGTCGATCACCTCGGTTTTGCTGCTCTAACGAGGATCGCCTCCTCTTTAAATGAGACTCGATGACCGGGCGAAAATCGAAAGCGCGTCGCGATGACACCGTAAGAAAGTTACGGGCCTTGCAAGCGCGAGCGAGAAGTCCCGTCTGCTCGTATTTAATCCGCCAATTGATCGTATCGCCAATAGATTGTGGCGTGTGCCAGTGTAAGGGCCAATGTAAGGGCGCGTCTCTTATCGCGGAGCTGCAACGAAAACAGATTCCCTTGGACGATCATTACTGAGTTCTTTATGTTCCCTTCACCAGCACGGTCGATTGTGCGACCACGAATTAATGTTGTCAAAAATCCGGATGCCTAATTATTTTCAATAACAATCGAGTATCCGGATGAAATACACATTCTTGTTTTGGAAATATCTTTATTTTAGACATGTAAATCTTAAAATAATATTATATGAAGATAAGTTACTTGCATCAATACATTTTATGTGTGTATAATTTACAAAGAAAAATATATATTCTCATTATTCAAAAATATATAATTTTCATAATATAATTATAATTTTTTAACAAAGAATATATGTTCTTTTCTCTGTGTAGTGAATGATGAATATTTAGAATGACAGCGCCTATCCAAGATCTCGCCAGGTGATAGATTCGTTCTGTGATGCGTTTTCTGAACGCAAAAGGTGACCGCCCAGCTGATACTTACTGACAAATTACTGCTGT